TTCTATTACCAGAGCACGCATATGATTATTCTCACGACCACATCCTCGTTCTGCTTTGTTACACACATCGCCCTACCTCCTCCGGTCATTCGCTCCCACACCACCCTGTCATACCACCCTACTTTACCAAAATTATGGGTGGGACGATTCATCGATACACTGATGTATCACAGTATACAAACCTTGACGATACACGTATCGATACGTTTGACCATTCATGAAACACGTATCACTTCAACCACCCCACTCTACTCTGCCACTCACCCACACCACCCTACCCTACCCTACCCTTTTACTTCAAGCACCCCACTCCACTTTGCCATTCACCCACACCACGCTACCCTACCCTACCCTTTTACTTCAACCACCCGTCATGATCCCGCCAATAGATGGCGCTCACCTTTAGTCCCTCGCACTGGTTGAAGCCGCACACGTGGTCGGTGGAGAGCACGCTCATGGAGACGATGCAGAGCAGGGTGAGCGTTCCCACGATCACCTCCCACGGGTGCGACGCGCAGAAGCGGCCGTGAGCGTAGAACGCCCCGCTGAACCCCGTCGCCGGCGGCTGCTGCATGTTCGCGATCATCCCACGACGACGTTCCTCGAGGCCTTCGGTGTGTGTTCAGTGAAGGTTCCGCGAAGATTCCGTGCGGATTCAGAGAGGGAGAGTTCGAAGTAGGTTCGCCGAGAGTTCTGCGTAAGGTTTCGGCGTATGTTCACAGTGGGGGGTTCGTGTATGTTCGGCGTACGTTCATCGTGGGCGTTCTGGGTAGGATAAACGACGCAGTGTCGAGGAACCCTCTACCGATAACGTGGTGGCGTCGGCGTTGCGGCGTCTGCTTGTCGAAGACGAATCCTCCTGAAAGATACGAAAGTGATGTTTAGTCTCTCGTTTTCTTTTTCGTCCCGGATGCTGCGAGAATCCGAAACTCGCGCGAAGTTGATGCGTGTTTACACTCGCAGATTAACACTGATGCGATCTCATCGACGAATTGCCAGTAAAATGCATTACATGAAGATTCCTCTCTCGCTATTTATCTCACTTACATAAAACAGACTGACTCACGTTAAACCCGTGATGTCCCAAGACAGCGGTACTTTACCGCAACAAATGCAGTCACGTTCGCCTTGACAAGCGCGTGACAAACACGTGACAAAAGCGTGTGACCTCAACTAGGAAGTAGGTAGTTTGCTGTTAAAACGCGCCACTAAATCAGTCCTCGTAAAGAACCCTAAAGGTATGTCACGCTAGCACCGTGTCCTCTCTGCAACAGAAACGCGCGTGTATGTTACGAGCCAGTAAGAAATAACAATAACCGCTGTTGGGTGATGTGTATATATATACACACGCACACGTTGAAGCGTGTAGTGACGTCACTACATCCGCCGCTTCATCTTGACAGCTATAGACTGGAGTGCAAGAAATCTCCTCGGTTTATAATTTCCCACGCGCGAGTACGAACTGAGGCAGTGCGAGAGGGGAGCCCACTACCGACTCATGCGTGACAGCGCCTCTGCACAGTGCACACATGTATGTGTGTCTGGGAACCTCGCGTGTGTCCGGGTTGCTGTTACCAAGCTGTGGTAATTTCTCACCGAGGGCTAGGCTGGGCTAGCCCGTTCCAGACTGCATACAGCTGCCTGCCTGCAGATGGGAACAAGAAGTCCGGGTCTGTCTAAGAGAACACATGCAGGGTCAACGGATGTGGCGTGATTTAACACGTGTCTACGAGGCACCCCACCACAACACACCACATCACAATGCACAGGAGCAAAGTCTTCACCCCGTAACACGCCACCCTCGCCACACTACCACACGGCACAGGCTACACACAGGAGCAAAGTCTTCACGTGTAATCAAGAGTTCGGCTGTCTCGCATCAGGTGATGAAGAAGTCACACCTGGAGACACTGACCTTGGCTACATGACCCTAGGAACACTCGAGGGCATGCTTATCTCACGTAACGTCGGCAATCAAGGGCACTTAGTAGCTAAGCAGACAATTTCCTAGTCGAATGATAAATCGCGTGTGACACACAGAGCTTAGCGCATTCGAACATTCCAAAGGCCAAGGCCACAATTAAAACAAGAGCCGCAGAGCGTCTTCTCAATGGTCGGCGAGCGAGCCTACCAGTTACTTTGGCTGGTTCACCATTTCCAAACTGTAGCCTTGGCACGTTTTTGAGGGATCGGGTGTTAATGTCGATGTACTCAGGATACGTAACGTCAGCCATGCTGTTCGTATTCGTATTAATGTATGTTTTAATCGCTCTGAAATGCGACAACTTGGGTTTTCAATGATTTACAATGAAAATAATGAATAACTTTCTGCAAAATTAATTCTGAATTTTTCCGGCCGGTGGCTCTGACTGGCATGCGGGCGGCTGGACCGGGAAAAAACTCATACCTTCCAATTCTCATGGCCTAAGTGTAAATGTGTGCGGCCAGATCAGTGCGCCTGGTCGCCGTGCGGTGTACCTGTGTGTTTGCCCAGAGGGCATTTGACCGGATTATACAGCGTAAATTATCAGCATACTAGGCGAAAGAGGTAGAGAAACATTAAGACATTGGTAGCTAAATACCATTTTCGTGTTTATTCAGCATTGTTTTTTATTGAAAATGCCTCAAGCGGTCTGTGCCGTCCGCCCAATCTCTCGTCCAGCTTTACCTTGGTGTTTGTGATCACGCTAGGCAGGCTCCCTAAAAAAAGCCGCGTTGTTTTTGTTTTTTTGCCGGTTGTCTCTCTGATACCGATTGCCTGCAGTTGACAAACCGCAGGAGCAG